GTGCGCAGCGGGCTGGAACTGCCGCGGCCAGGCTCTTCCTACGGCGGTGAGCGACGGACCGTGATATTTTTCCGAACCGCGGCGTTTCGTCAGGGTGTTGAGGGCCGCGGTTTGCAATGGGGAAACGTCCCCTCTAGATGGCAGAAACGACAGCCCGGCGCTGTCGCAGAGGTGCTGGACCCAGTCCGGTGGTCTCCAGCTGCGGCGTGGGACCTGCGGTGCTGTCAGCAGATGGAAATGCCCAGCCGCTGCCTGCTCTGTCCTCCTGCCCTCGCCCCGAGAGCTGCGCGGCCGCCAGCCCCCAGCCCAGCCTTCGGCCGTCCCCGCGGGAGAGGTGAGTGGCACCCGGGAACGACGCTTCAGCCGTACGGCGGCACCGCCAGCACTTGGAAAATGGGGAGGAAAAAAAAAAAAGAGTAATTTAGATCACTTGAATCCCCCTTCCCTGGCAGTAACAGAGAGGGAAATCCTAAATAACCCGCCCTGGGTGGGGTGACCTGCTTTTAGCCGCGTCTGACGGACCGAAGCGGCGAACGCCTGGATGCCCGGCGCTAATGCGAGGTGATGGGGTGGCGGGGGGACGGGGAGCGGGTTGCTGGTGGCGGGGCTGCCGAGCATCGCTCGCTGGTCGTCGTCAGCAGTGCCCCTCTCCGCGTTCGGTGTTTTGGAGGGGCCGTGCTGCGCATCGGATCTCGTAACGGGGTGGGCAAAGGCACCTGTTGAAATGGGCTTAATTTCTGCCTCCTTGGAAAGGAACCTCTATTTTATTAATTGTGTTTGCAGACATAAATACCTTTCTGGGTCCGTATTTTCGGTGCTGGCTCGCTGGGGATGCAGCCATCCCCGCATCCCTGCGGCGGGCGATGACCGTGCTGAGCATCGCGGTCACAGCGGCCGCTGAAATCGGGGTCCTGCACAACCGCAAACGGCAGCTCCCGGCGCTCAGTGTAGGGCTGGGGATGGGATCAAGGGGTCAGGCTGTGGCAAACCGGAGGTTACCGGAGTCTCCCTGCCCGGAGGGATTCTATGACTGAAGATGCTGGTCCTGGGGGGACCCGATTTCCCACCTATTTCCCATCTTCCAGGCAGGGAGGCGTTGAACATACCAACCAACAGGTTTGGGACGTTTTGGTGGGCAAGATGAAGGACAAGAGGGAGCTAATGCTGTCGAATGTGGTTTTATTTAACTATCCTTAAAACCCCACGGGGCCACAGGGATGAATTTCTCCTTCCTCAAGTGTGGCTGTGATTGCTGCCACTCCATCTTGGGGTACCCCCATGAGAAAGAATGAGCTTGTTTGTGCGTTCCTTGCAGAGAAGTCAGAAATAGGGGTTTTAGATATATATATTTTCACTGTTCTGTCATTGGCATAAAATTGGACGGAGTTCAGCTTTTTCCAGCTCTGTGTGATGCTCTGGGAAGCGTGGCAGCACCTCATCCTACATCCCTGCAGGAGGAAGATGCTGGGGGAGGAAGGCTGATCCGCACGAGGATGGTGGATGGGGTGGTGTGAGGAGCAGCGCTGGGGAAAAGCTGGGATAAAATCTGCCGCGGGGGCTCTCCTAGGCTGGGGTTGAGGGTATTTTGGAGCCAATGCAAAAAAATTAATAAAACCCCGTAGTGCTTTTTTCTCAAAGCAGTTGCTTTGTGGTCTTAATCTTGTGGGTTTTGCTGAATCCGGGGCTGACACACCAATTCTGGGGCGAGAGCTGATCGCTTTTCCCGCCCTCCTGCCCATCCAAGGTCTTTGGCAACAGAAAGACCCCCCTCAAGAGGCACACGTGGGGTCGGTGGCTTTAGACGCAGAGGTGACTCAACGGCACCGAGATGCCTCCTGGGGAGGACATCGTGCAGGGACGCAGGAGGGCAGGCAGTCCCCGAAGCCAGCGCCCAGATCACCCTGGGGGAAGCCAAGAAAGGCCGGAGCCGCGCTCCAGGATAGCTTCAAACAGCCAAAGTTAGCCCAAAGCTCATCCGCCCATGGCCCCTTCCAGCATCACGCTTCCCCCCACAGTGATCCCACAGTCTGGAGACTTGTCCTTGCCGTGGCTTTTCTTGGCATCTCCCTGCTTTTGGAGGCAGCCCTGATTTTCAAGCTTCCTTTCGTGTGATTGCAGAAAGGCACCGCGGGGCAGAGCCGGCCTGGGAAATAATTGGGCGGCCGGCGTATAAAATAAGCAACGAGGCAAAAAAGAAGTAGGAATAACCGTGGTTTTCTTGCTTGCCTGTCGCTTTCTAGCTCGGTCCGCGTGCTTCCGATGGCGAGCGCTGGGA